ACACACACACACACACACACACACACACACACACACGTATATATGAGAGAGAGAGAGAAAGAAAGATAGGTTAAAATGTACTGTTAATTCGGTAAATACTGAGATTCTACTGTGGGCCAGCCCAACACCACTGTAGGACTTTGGGATCTATACTTGAATGACACAAAGACAACTAAACACTCTAGACACTTTCCAACCTGTTTTAGAGGCCAAATGAACTGACCCTAGATTCTATTAAAGAAATTAAAAGTGAATTGCAGACCAATATCTCTTATGAACATGGATGTAAAAGTCTCAATAAAATATTAGCATTTTGAACCCAGCAGTGTGTAGAAAAACAATGCAAACTGTGACTGAGTTGATTTTATCATGAATACAAGATTGAGTCAATATTCAAATATCAGTTAGTGTAATTCATTACTTTGGCAGAATAAAGTAGTAAAACCATACAACAAAATCAGTAGACATAGAAAAAAAGCATAGATATAATTCAATAACCACTGTCACTGAAACTCTTAGCAAACTTAAAAAGAAATTTCCTCATTTTGGCCAAAGATACAGCAAACATCATCCTAAGTGATGGTTTATTGAATGCCTCACAGAAAGCTGATAAAAGGGAGGGATCTCTTCTAGTCCTGCCATTCATATAAGCAGTGTTTTAAGATTGTACAGTAAAGTAGTATGATGGTGCCTGCCCTTAATCCCAGCACTCGAGAGACAGAGGCAGAAGCAGGGGGATCTCTTGAGATTGAGGTCAGCCTGATCTACCTAGCAAGTTTCAGGCCAACTGGGGCTAAAGGGAGACCCTATCTCAGAAAAATAAAATAAATTTTTAAAAGATTGTGCAGTGAACCCGCAGGATTTTTAGGGAAAAGGGTTACTTACACAACATCAAAAAACTTTGGGTGACAAAAAATAGGAACCCAGGGGCTGGAGAGATGGCTCAACACTGACTGCTCTTGTAGAGGAACTGGGTTTGATTCCTAGCACTCACATGGCGGCTAACAACTGTTCATAACTCCAGTTCCAGGGAATCTAACACCACCTTCTGACCTCTGCAACCATTGCATAACAACGGGTGCACTCACATACACACAGGCAATATACTCATACACATAAAATAAAAATAATAATTAAAATATTTTAAAATTAAAAAAATAAGAACCTAATAATCCACAGCATACTTTTACTCATGGTAAATGGCTGAGAAGTATGTCAGTATTACAGTAAGCATGGCATTTTAAGTTGAAAGAGAATAAAAGTGTGCTTATAAAAATAGGCATTGGCTGGAGAGATGGCTCAGTGGTTAAGAGTACTGATTGCTCTTACAGAGGACCTGGGTTTGATTCCCAGCACCCACATGGTGGCTACAAACCGTCCTTAACTCCAGTTCCAGGGGAATCCGATGCCCTCTTCTGACCTCTACAACATTGCACGACATGGGTGCACTCATATTCACTCATATTCATAAAATACACTCATATTCATAAAATAAAAATAATAAAAATATATTAAAAACGGGCATTGGGAGATCTGAGTTTGTCAGTTGTGAAGATGTGGAAAGCTTATTTGGAATGAGAGCGTGGTAGTGCCTGATGTGTATGAATGTTGCTACTGAATGAATTGAAGTAGTAGATATATATCTAAAGTACAGGCCCCAGAGTTTCTGCATTTCTTTTCAGATTTGTTTTGCTGGGTAGGAATTCCATGTGCACCAAATATTTCTCCTGGACAATATTTGCATAAATACACACAGAATTCACTTTATGCTCAGCTTGTTTCTTAATATATCAGT